GCAGCAGGCCCGCGGCCCGGGGCAGACCTGCCGCTCACAGCCTGGGCTGCGGGTGGCGGCCGGAGCGGCCGGGCGAGTGGCCCGAGACCCGCAGTGACAGCATCAGGGTGCTGGGAGGCGGCCCCGGCTCTCACGCCTCTGCCCACTGCCCCCGGCCAGGTGCACCTGATGAAGCCGGACGCGGTGCCCAAGGCGTGCTGTGCGCCCACCGAGCTGAGCGCCACCTCCGTGCTCTACTACGACAGCAGCAACAACATCATCCTGCGCAAGCACCGCGACATGGTGGTCAATGCCTGCGGCTGCCACTGAGCTGCCCGCTGCCCCCGGGCCCCTCCGGTCAGGCCCTCGGTGCTGTCAGGCTTCGGCAGAGGCAGCAGGGAGGTCCTGACACCCCTCCCTATGTCCCCTCAGGCCCTCTGCCCAACCCCTGGGGCTTGAGGGAGACCCCTCGCTGGCCTGATGCCCGCAGCACGTCTCGGGTGTGCAGCCTGGGCCAGGACCTGTCCTTGCTCTCCTCAGCCCAGCTAGGCTGCAGCCGACGCCGACGCAGAGGGCGCCCTAGGTGACGCTGGCCGCTCAGGCTTTGCAGTACTCCTGGTTGGGTGTGGGAGCAGCAGCATGCCCCTCCCAGACTCACGCCGGGCATTTGCAGGTGTCCCAGACATGCTTGGGCCCCCGTGGGGCGTTGCTGGGTTCCTGACCTGGCCCTCAGGCTGTTAGCCTGTTAGAAAAAGAACAGGTCCGAGAACAGTGAAGAACGGTGAAGGCCTACCCTTTGCCTGCCTGGAGAGGGACCTTGAACCCCCCGGAGGAGCAGAGAACCCTGGGACGTTCCAGTTCCCTGTAGCCTCGAGACAGGGCAGCTGCAGTGGTGGTCCAGGGAGCAGACTGGCTGCCCAGATGCCATCTCTGGGTATCCCCAGCCCATGGTGAAAATCAGTTATCAACCTGGACACGCTTTTGCCACGGGCTGTGCATAAGGCCTCAGAGCCCTCAGCAGGGACTCCCGTGAGACCACGGGGAGCTCAGCGTCTCCTCTCCTGCCACGGCCCACGCCACCACCCCCTCTGGAGCTGGGTTCCTGGGTCACCTGCGACAGACTTGCGGTGAGGGTGGCACGGTCGCATCTGCTGGAGTCTAGGAGTTAAGGGCAGACTGGTCACTATCATGTGTCCCCTGTGGCCAGGAACCCGGTCCTGTTTCCCTTAGACCTGTGAGCCAAAGAAAAGGCCCCCGTCTCAGGGTAATTAGGTTTAGCTGGGTGGGGAGGTTCCCAGAAACCCCCGTTCTTGGAGACACCGCCAGTCAGAGTGTTTATTTGATTTCTGCCTTGCTAAGCCTATAATTTACCTGCTGGAGCAGACAGAGTCCAGATGCCGAACCCTGAAATACCGCGTCACTAAAAGCAGATCCTGGGCCCGCCCCAACCCACAGGCACAGCCTAGGACAACCTCAGCCCGATGCTCGTCTCTGGATTTCTGCTATACAGCCCCAGGAGGCGCACGGGGGCAGGCTGGCCGCAGGCTGGGGTGCTGTTGTGGGACAGCAGCCGCCCCCCTGGATCTGGGAGGGGCCCTGGAGCAGCTGCAGGGGAAGAGACCCCCCCCTGCACGAGGCAGGCCGGGCTGTCTGGACGGGGACTCCCCCGTCCTCCTGGGGTGTCAAACTCAGGATGGAAAGACCAGGCACTGGTGAGGAGAATGTCCAGTCCTGTATTCTGATTTCAGCAGTATCTGAATTGTTGTATCTAAACAAATCCCCTGGGACCTCCCTGGTGGTGCAACCGGTTAGGACGCAGCACTGCAAGCTGGCTGCTGCTGCCTCAGGGCGAGTTCAGTCCCTGGCCCCAGAGGTGACCCACATGGCACTGCAGACCTCTCCTGACCCGTCCACTGCTCCCCTCAGCAGTGTATTCTGTCATTCTTCCTGTTCTGCTCCTCTCACTGCTCCTCTCACTGCTCCTCTGTCCCCCAGCTCTGAATGCATAAATAAATACATTTTAAAAAATAATAAAGCCCTCGTGATTCTGGCTTCGGTTCCCATCTGTGACACTAGGGCACAGGACTTGCATCTCCAATGGACATAGGCCCCTTGGGTGGACACTGCCGGCCCCTGTGCCCCTCCCTCAGAGCCAAGGCGCAGCCTGCGTGCTCAGGTGAGGGCCATGGAATCCACTGTTTCAGGACTGTATTTCACAGCTCTGTCCTCCTAGCCTCAAGGGCAGTGAAGGACTGGAAACCCTCTGACAAAAGGGAGTGTCCAGTCTGCTCGGCGCCTAACGTGACCTGGCCAGAGAAGTTTGAGAAGTGAAAGCTTTGAAGCTGTGGCCCCGCCTGGCCCCGGGCACAGGAGCAGCCCCATGGGACCAGAGGCAGGAATAATCCCAGTGCGTGAGCGCCGGCCTCCCCACTGGCTGCCTCCGCCCAGCGGCCTCCTCGTTAGCGCAGATAGAAAAGGCCTGGACGGGAGAGCAGTACGGACAGAAAGCCAGCCAGGTGTGGGTGTGCAGTGACCAGCTCATCTTGTTTTTCTGGTTGCTGCTGGCTGCCGGCAGGGCTTTCTTTCGAAGCGTGAGTGAGGGTGGTCAGCTTAGGCCACAGGCTGGACAGTCAGCGGTGGCAGGGCGCAAGGTCACAAGGGCCTGATGGCATCGGGCTGCTCCGCAGGGGGCAGCCACTCTGTCCGCCTTCCCGGGTGTCTCCCCTCCGCGCTGCGGCCAGCTTGGGCAGGCCTCTGTTTTGGGGCATGAAGTGCTTCAAGAGATTCCCTACAACTTCACGGAAGGAGGCTGCGAACAGGCGAGGGTGGGGGTTGGAGCAGGTGGTCCTGGCGTGGAATCGGCCAAATCACCCAAGCTAGGGGGCCTCCAGCGTGGGCCGCAGGCCTCGGGCCTCCGGGTCTCGTCTGCGCGGCCGCTCCAGAGCTCCTGCGCACAGGTGCCGGGAGCGGCGCCCTGGGGGTGCTTGTCCCACTGGTTGGGAATGCGGCCCCCCTGCGTGCAGCCTGCGGCGCCCAGGGGACATGCCGTGTCTCCCCGAAACATCGGACAGGCCGTCTCCTGGGGTGAGGGCTGGACAGCACCCCAACCTGTGGAAGGAGTCTCACCTGGAGTGGGAACAGCTGAGCTCCCAGCCCGCCTCCCCTCACCACCAGCGCCACCTGGCCTGGAGTGCTGCTTGTATTTCTCTTCTTCCTGGGAAGCCTTGAGCGAGCATCTATTTGTGTTCCGCCCCACCCCGCAACCTTGTTTAAAGCTTTCTCATTCCTTTAAGAAAATAATTGCTTATGTGCTGGGGAACATTTTTGAAAATACCAGCCCTTAAGGGATCCTGCAGTGCTGCAGTAGATCCACGAAGTGCACTGCTGAGGGGAGCAGCAGGCGAGACAGGGGAGGTCTGCCGTGCCATGTGGTCACCTCCAGGGCGGGGATCGAACTCACACTAAGGTGGCAGCAGCCAGCTTGCAGTGCTGCGTCCTAAGCCATTGCGCCACCAGGGAGGGCCCCTGCTATTAAATACTCTTAACGCGTAATTGGTAGTAGCATGCCAGCCCTGTTTCGCCACATGCTGTCACTGCAAAAGCCAGCACTCGCCCTCCCTGCCCCCAAGGGTGGTGTGGGGTCCCCACAACATGACCACCCCAGCCACACCCCAGCATCAGGCAGCCAGGTGCTCAGGTCAAAGGGACCACCCTGTGTGGCCACGGCCTGGCCATTGGCCCAGAAGCCCAGACCGGGCACCTCACCACTGAAGCCAGATCACTACCTGTACAGGGTCATGGGAGACCATAGGTGGGTCGGGGCTTCTGATGCAGCCCCTGTGCAGCACAGCTGAGCGGTCCCACCAGAGGGTCCCTGCCCACCACCTCTCCGGCCAGTCCCACATTCCCAGAGCCATTAGGAAGAAGCATAATGACAAGACCAATCTGCTCCCTACCTTCACCCTGGTTTCATATGCCGGGTGATCAGTCCTCCCCCAGGGCTATAGGGAGTCCTGCTTGCCTCCGCAGGTCATCTTGGCTGGCCAGGCCAAGCTTCTCTCCTGGGCATCACACTAGTGGCTGGCTGGCGTTCTCCTGGTCTCACTGCGGCCCATCCTGACAGCCAGGACCAACCACTCCAGCGAGAAGTGAGGGTTCCTGCTGGGAGTGCCGCAGGCGGGGCATGCCAGCCCAGGATGAAGCCCCAGGGTGAAGGCCCCTGGCCCACCTGTAGCCAATCCCATAGGTGGGAGCAGCCCACTCCAGGCAGCGCCCCTGACTGGACCAAACCTGGGGAGAAAGGACTGGTCTGTGGTCACTGGGGCCACTGATGCAATAGGCATCCCCTCCCCCCAACTCTGACCCAAGAGAACCAGCTCAGCAGCTTCTGTGTGTCCAGGCTTAGTCCAGGCAGAGCTACTGGCAGGAGCAGGGGAGCAAGCAGAAGCCCCGAAAGAACTTTCTGGTGATCAGGGAGGCCCCCTGAAATGTCCACTGTAAACAGTGAACTTACACCCCAATAGAACTGCTTTTAGGGCCCTCCCCGGTGGCACAGCAGGTTAAAGCACAGCACTAAGAAGCTAAAGCCACTTCAGCATGAGTTTGATCCCTGCCAGCGAGCTGACCCACATGGCGCAGCAGACCTCTCCTGTATTGCCTGCTGCTCCCCATAGCAGTCTATTTCAGTCAATCTGCCTGTCCTGCTCCCCACTCTGTCTCTTGTGAATCCTTGCACATCCACCCACCCCCCAGGCCTTCATCCAGTTCTTGTATGTATAAATAAATAAAATAAATCTTTGAAGAAAAAAATGTAAAAAAAAATACCCATGATTTGGTGATGGGAAACCCTAGGAGATTGCAACTGAGATGGAAAAATATTTTTAAATAAACTATTATAAAATCTTAAAAAAACAAACAAAAAAAAAACATGAAATAATGGGTACAGACATTTGCTCAGAGAAGTGGGAGCTAAAAGAGACTCAGACGCGCCCTCTAGCGGTCACGTCATGTAATGCTTTCTGGAGGAAATGACACCTGACTGAGTTTGGTCCAAAGGGCCCTAAAGGATGCCGGGGCCTAAAGGGGGGCTTAGAGGAGGGGGGGAGCATGAGGAGCCACTGATTTGTGGCCTATGAAGACTACACCATGGCTGGCGCTGGGGCTCCCCTGCGTTGCATGAGGACTGTCTCCCACCCCTTTTCTGTGCTGGAGTCGATGGCCCCGACACCTAACAGAACAGACTTGTGAGTGTCCTAAATACTCAGATATTTATTGCAGGCTTATTATGCCAGATCTGCTGCTCCAGAACACAACGGTGAGCGAGAGAAGAC